TAATTAAATTCATTAATGTGGTAATAATATTAAAATTAATGTTAGTTTTTACAATTTTTAATATAAATTAATAACAAAAATGTGTCTTTTATGGCACAAATTAAAATGTCTTGGTACTTTAAATATTAAGATTCCTTGTAAATTATTTAAATATTCTTAATAAATATTTTTTAATATTGATTCACTAAAGCTACTTTAGTTTTTTCATTTTCATTTCTAGCATTTTAATTGTTTTTTAAATAATTTTGAAATGCAATTAAAATACTAGAAATGATAATGAAATATTAAAGTATCTTAAGTGAATCAACAAAAAAAATATTTATTAATGATATTTAAATAATTTACAAGTAATCTTAATTTTAAAGTACCAAGACATTTTAATTTGTGCCATAAAAGACACATTTTTGTTATTAATTGGTTAAATGCTAAATTTGATTCCTCAACTTTAGTGAGTTGCACATTTTTGGTCCCTCAATAATTTTTTGCACTTTTTTGATCCCTCAACTCTAAGAAATCCACACCGTTAGTCTTTCTGTCAATTTAGACTGTTAACTCCACCATGTGACATTTTTTATATTTTTTTTGATAATATGACGAAAACAACTTTAAAAAGTATTGATCTGAAATTTTTTTTATGACATGTCAATGCCAACTCATAAACCAAATTTGCCTTAATAAAAAAAACTAAAAAAACTACAAATTTACCTTGATACCCCTATCTCCCTTTCTTGATCCATCTTCTTCCCCTTTTTCGATCCATCTTCTTCCCCTCTTTCGATCCATCTTCTTCCCCTGTTTTTTCTTTTTCTTTCTTCCTCTTCTTCCTCTGTGTCTGCTGGGTTCCACCGAACCCAGTTCGGGTTCGATGGAACCCATTTGCTGGGTTACATCGAGCCCAAATCTGCTGGGTTCGATGAACCTAGCTCCACTTTTTTTTTTTTTTGTTATATGTTTGTTTGCGAAGAGATTATGTAAATTGCAGGTTGTGAGGGATTTTTGAGATCCTTTTCTTCGTATTTCCTAAGTATTGTCTAAATTATTTCAATATTCAAAATAGAAAGAATATCGTCGGCGATAGAAAGAACAAAAGCAGTGACTGATGGGCAAACAAGCAATTCTTAGTGGGTTTCCATTTGTTTGGCTAGAAAATTATATACTTTGGGTGTTTGGATGCTAAGAAAATACTTTCAATCTATTTGGTTACTGAGAAAACTATAATGTCCGTTAAATAAAATTTGATGAGAAAATTGTAATTTAATTATAAATTAATTTAGAATCTCAATTTTGATTAATATAAATAATTATAGTTTAATGATGATTAATTAGTGGAATTTGACTTGATATTATTTTTTATTCATATAAACATTTAAATTTAATTTAATTTGTTACATCATTAAAAAATATAAAAAATATCACGTAATTTGCCATGTCATCAAAAGACATCTTTTTTATTGGTGATGTGGGGCCCATTTGAGTGGATTTGGTGCCATGTCATCAAAAGACATCTTTCTTTATTGTTGATGTGGGGTTCATTTGAGTAGATTTGGTGACTTTGAGTTATGGTAATATGACATGGCAAAATGTTTTGTTCATATCATTACTTTTTTAAATTTTGTTTTCCACATCATCAAAAAAAATATAAAAAATGCCACATGGGCAGAGTTAACAGCCCAAATTAACAGAAAGACTAACGGTGTACATTTCTTGGAGTTGATGGATCAAAAAAGTGCAAAAAATTGTTAAAGGATTAAAAAAATGTGCATTTTTTAAAGTTAAGGGACCAAATTTAGCATTTAACCTTATTAATTTATATAGAAGAATGTAAAAATTGATATTAATTTTAGTATTATTTTTACATTGATAAATTTAATTAGATAATTAATAAATTAAATGTCAACATTTATTCTTCCAATATAAATTTATGATAAAAAATATATTTATTACAATTTTAACATGTACCAAAAAGCTAAAATTAGAAAATTTCTTTCATAATAATTAATGAGAAAAATTAAAAAATATGTTAAAAATTCTTTATTAATTAAGTGATTTAATTAAATTTAAAAAGTAATATATAAAGGTTATT